TCCTTTGGCACATCCGTTAAAATTGGAAAGATTAGCATGGCCCCTGCGCAAGGATGAAAGACGCGCCGCCACAGTTTTTGTCTTTTGTGCGTGTGGAGAGTAGCGCAGCAAGGCCCAATGCAACTCTTGAAAGGGCGACGCCCTTGAGATATCGTCATTGAAGCTGACCGGCCAGGTAAGGGCCTCGCCACACCACTCTTGAAACGGGGAATTTTTTCAAGAGCTGTCAGACGTTCTCAAGAGTTGGGTTTTCAAGAGTTTCCGGCCCCTCACCACACAGCACTCTCGAAAGGGCGATGGTGTTGGACAACCGATGAAAAAAGACAGTCGTACAGCTTTGTTTTTTCCGAATGGCGTCAGGATAACGGCCTGACAACTCTCGAACATCGAAAGTCCCTCACGGGTTCGGCCGAGGATGCTTGAAAACGCACGAGTTGCAGGCTGGGGTTTCCCATCTTTAGAGAGCTGCTCTTGAAAGGGTTTCAAGAGCTGCTCTGACAGCCCTTGACTGCCCCAAGTTTCGAGAGGCTGTCTGGCGATGCACCAACTCTTGAAAACGAGTTTTCAAGAGTGGTGTGGCGAGGCCCTAATTCAGAGTTATGGTATTCTGTGCAGAAAAAAAAAAAAAAAACTCTGACAAAAAAAAAAAAAAAGAAAAAAAAAAAAGACATTTCCCTGTTTCAAGAGTGGTGTGGCGAGGCCCTAAAATTGTGCATTGTTTGTGCATCTGTCTGTGGGTTGCACCCCTCTGGATTCGATTTGGTCGGAAGGGCCGGGATTCGCAGCATCAGGAGGGGCGGCACTACCGAATTGTCGTCCTGTTTTTCTGGTTTTTTTTCCCCCGAATTGTCGTTTTCCCCACCCCCTGACTCACGCGGCTCACCCGGAACTACCGTTTGGTTTGTTTCCACATCTCCTTAATTGATTCTCTCTCTCTCTACTGGCTGAGGCTGCCAGGATAACTCCGGGTCGATTTGTGATGTCGCCGGCCTCTGTCCCATTGTTCTGTTGGTGAAATAAATGTCTAAGCTTTCCAAAACCAAAAAAAGGAATTGATTCTCCTCGTAAAGAAAAAAAAAAAAAAAAAAAAAACCAGCTTGCCTAGTTGACTTGGCGCTCCCACGAACAGTTGAGTTACAAACATGTGTTCGATCCGAAAAGCGCCACGCGGGAATACAAGCTCGCCGCACGGGCGGAGGTATCTGTCCGCGATCTTGGAGGACATACATTCTCATTTCGCACATTTCGCGAGTGCGTTTCCGTTTGTCTGTTTGTCGGTCTGCAATGCAAATGCGTCCCTCCGCACCTATAGCCCCTGGCCTCCTCCGAATAGAACGCACGGTCATTTGGAGTCATTTCGATAGGGCCTCGCCACACCACTGTGTTAGCGAAGAAAGAAATAGGGCGTCGCCGCACGGGACACGAAACGAAAGTAGAAACGACTGCATCTTCCTGCATAAAATGGCTAGGTTCGGCGATTTTCTATAAATAGTGACGACCGTATTTTGCCACGTTTCGTGGGCAGATGCGCTCGTTTCGTTCTCGTTTTGTGTGCCGTGGGGCGAGACCCATAGTGCATCTTCTCTCGCAAAGAGGGGCAAGATGCACCGGTTACCATGAATAGAAAGGGAAGCATGTCACCACTTTCTTGGGAAGCTGGCAAGATGCCTTCCCTCTTTTTTGGTATCTACAGGGGTGTGGCCAGGCCCATAGTCTTCTCGTTTTTATTCTTTCACCTACCTACAACTACTCCTAAGCCCATACAGAGGACCCGGCAAGCATAGCTACCTCTCTCAGAATCAAGGGGATGCAGGTTGGCCCCCGCGCCAGGGGTCAGGGAGTAAGCTGGGGCCATCCCGGGAGGGGGGCTGGCTAACGCAAAAGACTGAGCAATTTGCCAGTAGCTGCCTCTCCCATCTACTCCCCCCGCCCCCATAGAATAACAGCAGTGTCTATGGACAGCACTCGCACACCACAGACACAAACACCTGTGATGGCCACACCTGTCTATGTGCACGTGTCTTCTTTTTTTTTTTCGAGAAAGAAAACACTTGATTGCTCATGAAAAAACGGATGTTGAGGCCGGGTCCTCACAAAATCCCGGAAGAGTAATCGCAAAAACCCTCGAAAGAAGAAACCCCCCCTTCCTGCCAAACTAATCTAGTTTATTCTCATTTGACCAGATTAATCCAAGACCAGGAAGACCTCTCCGCCAGTAACCAAATAATTCCTTCCTATAAAAGAAGGGGGAAAAGGAAAACCCCACCCGATACCACTACTGAACCTAAGCTCTCCAACTTCTACCAACTGCTACCAACTCCTACCAAGCACAAAAGAAAAACTTATCTGACCCCGAGGCTTCCTGAGGCATAACACTGACTCAGCGTGCCTCCCCAACCATTTCACACTCCCTCCTTGACCAAAATCCACCAACTGCCGTCCTACTGCGGACAGAAATCAACCGAGCTTTCAGGTTGCAAGACCATACAAGAGCCGTGGCGCCAAAACCAATTGTCCCTTTTTTTTCTTTTTTTTTTTAAACACACGCCCGGCGATGGTAGTGATGCTGATAAGAGCCGACACCACTACCAATCGGGGAGAGGCTCCATCTATTGGTGGGGAGCGTCACCTGCTGGAAAACGGGTCCAGCGTCCCTTATACAGACTGAAATCAGAACAAATTCGAACAAATTCGTGRGTCCCTGCCAGCATTGATAACCCTGGACCCCAGGGGATTAACTGAGCAGGTCGTTGGCAGAAATAAAAGGGCCAGAAGAAGGCCTGCCACTAAGCAGGCTGTGGTAGAAGATGACTGAGATGTATGCTGCCCATAAAGGGTTGAATGCTATCTTCAGGAGATGAGAGCTTCCGTCAGGAGTTCGTCTATACGGASTGCTGAGCTGCAGGGCGTAACCATATGCCGCTGCAGGACTGGTTTTCTTGAATGCCTGAGGGTCCACTTCGCCCGACATCAGACTGATTCGCCTGCAGGCCTGGAAGACCTCATTCTCCATCCGCCTTCCTGTGTCCGGGCAGGGGTCCAGGAGGAACACCGGGGGCACCGGTGTTTCCTTCCGTACCCTTGCCCATCATCTTTCCGCAAGAATCCAACCCCCCCCTTTTTTGACACCAAGTGATGCCTAGAACAAAAGTTGTAAGAAGTTTGTCATTCCTGTCGTGGAACCGCCCCCCCAGGCTGTGACACAGAGCGACGCCAGATCAGAGTTGAGGGGGCTGCAACCGCAAAAAAAACAGACTTGCTTTCCTATCATCTCATATCTGTGCCCGGATGAAAGAGCCCGGTTCAGAGCAAGCGGGGAGGGCAGCGTCACCTCTTGGCCRGGATTGGGGGGACGACCGTGAAGGATAGAGGGGAGCAGGAATGACTACATCAGGAAAACATCAGGAAAACAGGATTTGACTGCATCTTATATGTGTTATATATGTTAGTCAGTTACAGGGACACACTTCCAAGGCATATTATGGGTGGGGGGGAAATGGGTCTGGGAATTCTTCGGCCGGGCGGATAGGGATATTGGGATCCACAGTCAGCCATTCCTTAAATTTAAGGTGGTAGTCCCTAGGCAATTGTTCTTGGAGGTCGCCCYCCCCCCCCCCCTCTCCCTCCCACGATCCTGACCAATGTACCTCCACTACCCAGCCCCCCCGGTCCCCACCCAACCATTCCCTTGAGAACTGTAGTAGCCGTTCCCTGACGTCAGAGATTCTATGGAGGTTGTCTAGCGTTTGTTTTCCATCTATGGGAAAGCTCAAATTGGAAGTGCATTTTAAGTTGTTCCATCCTTTCTATGGGAAAGCTCAAATGCGGTGCGGAGATAGAACAAATTGCACGGCTAGCGTTTGTCCCTGGTTCTTAACAGCGGCCAATTTATTGTTCCTCCCCAAACCCCAAGTTTTTAAAAACCACTTATATCTGCGCCTACCAGGTTTCTTCCTTTGGACCTTCCTGGCCCAATCCACCAACACAGCTGTGCGCAGCTGATGTCTTGCCTCAATCTGCAATCGCTGAGGTACCGTTTCTTCATCTTTAAAAACTTTGGCGTTCCTTCCTTGCCATAGGACCCAGAGTAGGATGGAACTGGCCACTTGAGCTATATAGCCCCATCCGGTCTGATCGTTCATGTTCGCCGGAAGATGTCCCAACAGGATCCATTCATCACTCCAGTTCATGGCGTTATTGGTAAACTTTGCCCAGTGCTCCCTCCACCAGGCCCAAAGTTCCTGTGCTGTTGGACAGTCAATGAATAAGTGATGGATTGTCTCCTCTTCAACTCCACATTGTGGGCAAGTCTGATCTACTTCCATTCCTCTCTTTCGTAGCCAAGTGGTTGTTGGAATGATTCCTCGAGACAGCATCCACAGGAGGGCCGCATGTTTCCTAGATGGCAGGAGCTGTAGCTGTTCCCACAGTTTTTGCAGATGGCTTCCTTGGGAGTAATCCTGTAGGCCGAGAACCTGCAGGAGTTTGAGCCAGGACTGATCATCTGGGCCCGTGGGTGGTCAAATGTGCAGATGTGCACGTTTCCAAATCCACAAGGGCAGACATTGATCGATGAGTGTGTAAAGCTATCAAGTTATTTTGTTTTTGTTTTTGGCTTTTTCTCCTATTGGGACGAAGAATCTCGGCAGTTTCTGATGTGAATGATTACCTGCAAGGACAAGAACGCACGCCAGAAATTACGAGAAAGGTTTAGCCTCAGACTGATAACACAAATTAATGATGCTAATCTTCTTTCTCGGATATGCGGCAGGTTTGGCGGCGCGGCCCAGGGTTAGCCGGCACAAAGCGCTCCGCTAATCGTGAACCAGGTTCGGCAAAACCCGAGCCGGCCTTCAGGACGATACCATCGCTGATATCGCCCTGGAGTTCTCCCACTATGCGCCCTCCATGCAGGGTGAATATGGCGATAGGCTAGCCATAGGTGTGGAGATAAGGTCGGAGGGGGCATCGCCGTAAGACTGGGACGCGTAAGATATCGGTGGGATTGACGAAGTGGAATAGGGAAGTAGAGGCGATAGCGTACGGGAGAAAGCAGGGTGAAGGTTGTAGGGGAAGTAAGTAATTATGGAGAGCACACCAGGACCAGTCGGGTCAGGGAGGTCGCCACCTACGGGACCCCAAGAAGAGAGAGACTATTGGGAAGATGAAGACAGAATCGGAAGCCTATTAACGATGTGCTACGACGATGGCGTTTACCCTACGGAGATTGATCCAGGGGAGATGGTGGTGGAAGGGAGAGAGGTGCGTTTTAAATTAAACTCTTCGCTTGATGAAATCAAAGTGAACTGGTTAAAGGAACGCACAGTTACAGTCATTTTCAAAGAGGCTGCAAGATTCCTAGCAAAGAACATCAAGGACGATCTTGTTCGAGCGTTCGAAGACGGATGGATAATAGGGAACGAGAGATTGCAGGAGAATACTCGGAGAGGAAGACTCAAGATCGAGGACCCAGGGGTGGCCTCCTATGTAGCAAAAGCTAAAGAAGTGGCGGACTACATGAAGATCGAAGGACAGGCGGAAATAACGCTGGGAATGGAGACGTACAAGGTCCTTTTCAAGCCGTGGATGACCAGGGCAGAGTTTAGAGACCTAAGGCGACAGGAGGAAGATAGAATCTTGAAGTTCTGGGTAATGGCACTTCACGTACCACTGGACGATATGCCCTTTATTTATGCCCAGATTGAGAGGGCAATAGGCAAGATAGTCATGGCACACCCAACGGACGTAGATCCTACCAGACCGGGGCTGGTTAATGCGAGGTTTGATCTGGAGCCGGAGGCGCGACCGAATATGAAGGACGTGTTGTGGGTGGAAACGGCGAAAGGGGATGTTCTCGAAATCAAGTTGGCATGTGCGGACACGCTGAAGTGCAGGATCTGCCGGCAATTCTTCCATACGGAACAGGATTGTCGACGAGGAGGCGGAGCTCGCTCGGGGCGAGGCATAGCAGGGCAATCAGGACAGTATCATGCGCCGCCACAAGGACCAGCGGCTTCGGCAGTTGGGGGGAGTCAGGCTCCTATCTATCAAGGTCCGTTGGACCAGTGAGACCGAGCACTCCCAGTGGGGCTTCCCATTCGGGGCAGGTCCGAAGCAATCCGATCTTCTCTCCACATGGAGGCACAGGAGTAAGCCATCAACACGGAGGAGGTGTGCAGACGAGACTCTTTGGGGGAACTCAACCTCAAAACACATCGGCAGGGCAAGTTGGGGGAGTTCGAGGAGTTGGAGGAGGAATGGGCCAAATCGGAACAATACCAGCATACGGAAGTGTACAAGCGGCATGGCAGGGAGGGATCACAGCGGATTCGTTGTTCTCCAATGGGATACATCCGGCCCTATGGCCAGGGCTACTAAGTAGCCAAGGGCTAGCTCCACCGGCAGGGCAAACAGGGCAGATGGGGCAGTGGAATGCCACATTGGGCCCAAGTACATCAGCAATCCGAGTCAACCAGCCTCCACCAAAAGGTACGCAAGGAGTAGCCTGTCTGCAACAGTCGTTCGGAGGCAGACTTGGAGGAGGACCAGGGGGGGGCAGACAGGGAGATGGGACAGCAGCAAGCTCCCAAGGAAGATCGAGGGCTCATACCCCTGGGAAGCAAAGACGTCTCAGCACGGCTTCACAGATAGAGGTCACACCAGAGCCATCGGGCACATCGAGACTGTCGAGGAGTGGATCGGAGAAGTCTGTCGACCAGGAGGTGGGATTGGTAACCCCGGGTCAGAAGACAACAAGAGACCGGAGGCTAATCTCAACCAAAGGACAAAACACGGACATGCCGCAATACGTTGTCCCACTGGTGTGTACAACTCTCTGTAACACGGAGTGGGTGATTACATGGCAACGAGGAGCAGAACCATGGGCTATTTTCGGCCACATGGTACAAGACATGCCAACAACAGAGGATATTCCAAATTGCTTGTCGACACTGTACCTGGACGCCTTCCCTACCAGATTAATTCCACAAGTGGTTATGCCGAGAATTCTGTTTGGACCGGCTGGCAACAAGACAAAGCTCTACGTGCCGCTGATCAACGCAAGGCTAAGGGAAGCCAAACTTACGGAACTGGAGAGGCTGGGGCTACGATTAGTGCCACTGTCAATATTCGCAGAAGCTAAGAGGCAAGAACTATCCAAATTGACGGTCACCCCACTGATGATCACAGCGTAGGCACTAGCGGAGGTCAAAACTAGACTCAGTAGACTGCCAAAGGACAAAAAGTTGGACTCCAACTTTATGAAGATGGCGCTATCCGCCACCTGGCACCAGACCAAGCCCACATCCAAGGACAATGGGATGCAGGGCACATGAATGGTCAAAGTTAAAATCGCCTCATGAAACCTCCAGGGTTTCGGGGATACGATGGGGAATAATAAGAGAGTAAGGGTCAAATCCTGGATGCACGAGAATAAGGTGACAATCGCCTGCCTGCAGGAGACAAAGTTGAATAACGAGAAGATCGAAGTGTTGGGGCGATGGTGGGACGGCCCGCAAATTTGGGCTGCGGCGCAGGGGACAAGAGGGGGGGGGGGGGGTATCTTGGTGCACAGGGATTTAGACGCCTCGATTGAGGATTATTATGCTGACCTGTGGGGCAGATGGGCTTGGATCGTTCTGTCGCAAGAGGATTTTAGATGGGCGGTGGCATCGGTGTATGCCCCGGTGGATCGGAAGGAAAGGTGCTCCTTCTTAGAAGAGCTGAGGGTGGTCCCCCCAGATGTAGACGAGGTAGTGATAGGTGGTGATTGGAACATGGTACTGGACGCCCCACACAATCAGTCTGCAAGTGGAGCCTCAAAGGATGTGCTATCATTGGTCGATCTGATGGCCGAGCTGGAACTGCAGGAGGTGTACCGGGATCTGAACCCGGTGGAGGATGAGTATACGTGGTTCTCCCATCAGGGGAAGGGGAGGAGATTGGACTTCCTGCTAACAGGAGGGAAAATCAGAGAAAGGATAATCAGCATCTCATAAACTAATAATCCAGTCTCAGACCACAAGCCAATGATCGGTGTGCTCAACCTGCGTCCGGAGCTGATAAGGGGAGGGGGATACTTCAAGCTAAACACTTTGAATCTTAGGGAGGAGCAACTCTCCAACTGGACGCGGGAATACTGGAAATGGTGGGAACAACAAAAGGGGAACTTCGCCCTGCTGTCGGACTGGTGGGACACAGGGATCAAAATTCTCTCCAATATGTTGGACGTTTTTTCCCGCTCGGAACTAACATGGGGTAAGGAGAGAGCCAGGAGGCTAGCAGAGTGGGACGCGAAGCAGCAGGAACAATCTGAGCAGTGGGCAGAAAGAATCAAGGTTAAGGGGCTGGAGGTATATGACAGGATGTCGAAGGAATCCTTTCAAAAGTTGGCCCCAACAAGGTCGGGACCATCAATGAAGGAATTGAAGCACCCCTTTGAACCGGACGAACATGTGGCGACACTCCCTTAGGATCTCTGCAGATATGCATCGCTGTATTATAGGGATATTCTGACTTCGCGAAGACAAGGGGAAGGTGCAGACACAAATCTCGCTATGAACTCATATCATTGGCAGAACACAACAGTCAGGCTGTCAAGGCAAGGCCGATTAGATCTGGACTGATCGATCACCAAAGAGGAAGCGGAAGAAGCGCTAAAAGCCATGGCCAGTGGGAAAACCCCGGGGGAGGATGGACTCCCGGTGGAATTCTACAGAAAACACTGGGATGTGATGGGCGAAGACCTAGTGGAGATCTACAACGAAATCCAAATGGGAGGGAGGTTACCGACTACAGCCTACAGAGGGATCATCTCATTATTGTTCAAGAAGGGAGACACGAATGAGATTAGGAATTGGAGATCAATCTCCCTCCTTAACGTGTCATACAAGATTTTGGCCAAGGTCCTAGCTCGAAGATTTGGACGATACCTGTCGGACCTGGTGGAAGACGACCAAGCTGCATTCGTGACGGGCCGCTCAACCTACGACAATATTGTGACTGCTATTGAAACGTTGGAGGTGGTGAGTAAGGAGGACTTGGATGTAGCGGTCTTATTGTTGGATATGGAAAAAGCGTACGACCGGGTCAACTGGTCCTACGTTTTAACCTCGCTCAGGTGGATAGGATTTGGGGACATGTTTTGCAGTTGGGTGGTAACCTTGTACTCATGGTCGACAGCGTCGGTGATGGTAAACGGACACATCTCAACAGAGTTCCAGTTATCTCGTTCACTACGTCAATGGTGCCCTTTGGCCCCCTTGCTCTTCGAACTACATTTGGAGATCCCATTGAACAACATAAGGAACAATGCACACATAGTAGGCATAGATCTGAGTCGCCGAGCCTGTAAGGTCAAGGCGCTAGCAGACGACCTATTCGCGGTGTCGACCAACTCAAAAGAGTCAATGTCGGCCCTTCGGTATTATCTCCGACAGTACGAAGAGTTGTCGGAGGCAGCAATAAATTGGTCAAAATCTGTGTATTTTCTACCATCACGATATGTTCCGGTGGTTAATTGGGGAATGAAGCGAATCTGTAGCGGGGAATCAGAACGGTTCCTTGACGTTCAAGTCGCACTTTCGTCGTGTGTTCTCAGGCAGGAGAAAACCCTGCAATCAAGAGTCCTACAAAGAATGTCGGTCTGGGGGAAAGCTCCGCACCTGTCACTATTCGAGAGGGCACTCGTAGTGAACGTAGCACTGTTTGCGCTTCTCTTGTTTGTGGGAAATGTAAGATCTCTAGGAAGGAAGCCCCAAGCGGTCGTCCGCAGAAGGCGATAAGGTTCATTTGGCGTCCATATGCAGAGGAAGGGGAATCGGTGATGTCGAAGGTTGCCTGGGACCTAATCTGCGCTCCAAGACAAGAAGGAGGTTTGGGGATGATCGACCCGGGGAGAAGAAACACAGCCATGTTGGTGAGATGGGTAGTCCGTGCCATCTCATAAGAAAGGGACATCCATTGGGTTTCCTTGGCGGAAAGAATCCTCAACAGGGAGTGGAAACTGTCCCGCCCAACAGACGTTTGGGCTTGCATGTGGATTGAGTCATTCCTCAGAAGACATATAGCATCAGAATATTGGGGCGCAGTCGACCCCTGCTAGCATGGAAAAAGGTGAAGCCAGACATGCTATGTGAGCCGCATACGAAACAGGAGGTGCTGGCCCAGATAATCTTCAAGAATCCACGAATCAAGGACTCAAGAGGGAATCTGCTGATGGCGAACGGAAAACCAGGTAATTTTGGAAGATCTTGGACAAAAAAGGGGGTAGTAAGGGTGAGAGACCTTTGCAATGAACTTACGGGAAACTGGCACACTGAGGAAGAGATGGAGAGGAGACTCAGACCGGGTAAATACATCAGACAAAGAAGGCTGCAAGTTCTGGAAGCGATTCGAGAGGAACGACTCCAGATACTATCTCCTTCGCGGCCGAACCCAACAGGGACCTGGTACAAGCTGTGTGTAGATACAGACGTTCTAGACCTTCCACCTCGTTCGTTCGTGAAAGTGGTGGAACAACGTATAGAAGGAAGCAGAAAAGTGCAAAATTGGAGGATGGTGGGACCGGATGGAAAACTAGCGGTGCAGGAGGGAGAGGAGGAGTATAGTACAGTACTTAGAGGTAGATTGATAGAAGTAAGAGTAAGAGAGAAATGCAGCGAGGAAGGGATATGGGAAGCAAGGGTCTGGAAGGAAGGAAAGCCCATCAAGGAACTCAAGGCTGTGAGCAATTTCCGGCCTCAAAGGTTTATATAATTGAATTCCTTGCCTTTCCCCCCCCAAAAAAACACAAATTAACATATCCCCGCCTCTGGTCAGGGTAGCTAAAGGGTGGGCTGGAGATACGGCTGGGTCAACGTTAAACCACCAGTACCTCGCCCAACTTGAAAAAGCCAACGCGGCCGTTAACGCGCTGCGTCGGGCAGGGTACCCACCGACAAACGACCGGTATTCCCCAGAAACGGGTGCAAAAAAAAAAAAAAAAAAAGGTCGACGAAAAAGAGAAGCAACGAACAAAAAAACAAACGGGCGTGGCAGGGGGGGGAGGAGGCAGAAGACCGAGAGAGAGAGAGAGAGAAAGGGCGTCAAAGTGTCTGATGCCGCACCAAAGTCGGCGTCAGACACTCTAATGCCCTCTCTCTCTCTCTCTCTCTCTCTCTCTCTCTCTCTCTCTCTCTCTCTCTCTCTCTCTCTC